GGGCGCGAGGCCCATCGAGGCCTCAGGGGCGTGTCTACGCCCTTGGTAGTTACCGGGAATCGTGGGTGGGCGGGTAGTTCAGGACGCGGTGCTGAGTTTCCTACCTGACGGCCACCTGCCGCCGGGCGCACTGCCCGTGCCATTGCGAGAGCCCCTCTCCTTTCCCATCCACCCTCCCGCCACCATCCTTTGATCTCTGCTCTGAGTCTGCTTCTGTTGGTCCTTTATTTTGTCCTTTACACTCCACAGGTAGATGAGATCTAGGGCACTTGTCTGTTCCTGCCTGGCTCGGCATTCCCCGCGGGGGATTTGATGGGCACCGCAATGCAGACAGGGCCGGCCGGGGTGGCTCAGTGGTTGAGCGTGGGGTCAGGGCACATGCCCGGTTGCTGCTGGATCCCCGGTGTGGGGCCTGCAGGAGGGAGCAGATCAGTGATTCTCTCTGATCACTGATGTTTCTCTTTCTCCCTCTCCCTTCCTCTGTGAAAGCAATAGAAAAATATTTTTAAAAATGCAGAAAGGATCAAGAAAGGCTGATTTCTGTCTTTATGAAGCTCATATCCTCATTGAGTGAATAGACATTGTAGAAATAATCTATTGCCTGTCGAAAATATTATGTGTAGCATATTGTGTCTTATGTTGTGAACACAGGGTTTAACATGTCGAGTACACAGCTTCATCTCTTGCACGTAGTGGGTGCGCAGATGTGACTGTTACTGACCATCGCTGCTCGGGTGTTTATTGGGCCTTTTCCGCCCAGAATCCTTTCTGTGGAAGCAGAGTGTGTGTGGACACGGGGGTGGTTCTTCCCTTTCTCCCAGCACTGAGTGTAGTCTGTCACCTCCCGGGGTGTGTGTAGCACCGAGTTGTGCCAGGCCCGGTAGGAGTGCTTAGCCAGTATAACTGGCGTGGAGAGTATGTGCAGCATGACACAGGAGGTGGCTGTCAGGTCAGATGGGGCGAAGTGTGACGCCTTTGCTGCCGTGTGAGGTTGGTAATTGCACGCTGTTTCACACGAGGCTAGGGAGTGCAGACACGATCGAGACCCACTTCCTGCCCTTTAAGTTAATTGCAGGTCATACATGCACATAAGTGATCACCCCTTGAAGCAAGTTGTGAAAGGGATGGAGGAAGGTGCCGTGGGGCAGTACTGAGTGTAGGGTAAGCATGGAACTAGACCAACTTGAGTTTCCAGCCCAGAACACTGGTATTATAATGTAAACTGCTTTTTTCCCTTTAGACATAATTGATATATTAATTTCAGGTATACAACATGATTTGATATTTGTATATATTGTGAGATGTTCATATTCAATCTAGTTCATTCACTGACCAATTTTCATAAGTTTAACCATCCTTGCATTCTAGGAAATGAACCCCACTTAGTCATGGTGTGTAAGCCTTTTAATATGTTGCTGAATTTGGTTTTCGAGTATTTTGGTGAGAAGTTTTGCTCAGAGTTCATAAGGGGCATTGGGCTGTAGGTTTTGTGTAGTGTCTTTGTCTTGCTTTGGTATCAGGGTAATACTGGCATCAGAAATATAGGAAGTATTCCCTCTTCTTCGGTTTTTTGGGGAAACTTGAGAATTGGTATTAATTCTTAAATGTTTGGTAGAATTCACCTGTGAAGCTATCAGATCCGGGCCTTTTTTAATTAAAAATTTATTGATTGGTTTTAGAGAAACATTGATTTTGTTGTTCCACTTATGCATTTATTGGCTGCTTCCCATATGGGCCCTGACAAGGGATGGAACCACACCTGGCATATTGCGACGACGCTCTAACCAACCGAGCTGCCGGACCAGGGCCTTCACTGACATTTGAAAGCTGATTTTTAAGACAAAAAATAAGGCTGGCAAGTCCTTCAGGGTCAACCAAACGCGCCCTGCGGATGGCCGTGGCCTGTGGTTTGTGCGCTGTGAACAGGTGGAGGACAGGGCCCAGGTCCTGCTCTCGGTATCACCCAGTCGGAACCAGGCATTTGCCTCCGCGTGGGGCTGGGCCAGTGCCAGGCCTGGGGCATGTGGACAGAGTGCCCTTGGGGAGCTCTGTGAACTGCCCCCCACCACACACGCCCCACCCCTGGCCCAGGGATGAGCTGCTCATTGCTCGTAGAGATGTTCGTTTCTCGCCGTTTCATTTGACCAGCGAGGCCGGATGCTTAGAGGTCAGGTCTTGCCCAGGTCCTCCAGCCCGAGAGGGTGTGAGGGAGCTGCAGCTGATGGAGGCAGTGAGGCGGGGCGGCCAGTACCGCTGCCTCCTTACCTGGTCACACCAGCAGCTGCCCTGACCCCACGAGCCTCCGCCTGCCCATGTGCAGAGGGAGAGATGACAGAAGCTGCTCTTGGGTGAGTGGAGATTGTGTGGTGGGGGGAGGGGGACTGAGATCGCCGTGGTATGGTGGGTGGGGACTTAGAAGTTTGCCGCATCTGTGGTTCCGCGGGAGACGCCTCTGGTCTTGTGTTAGTTGTAGAATTCCCTCTGTCGCATGTTGTATGGGTTTGTGTAATGACAGTGTTTCATATACAAACATGCAGTGACCCTGAGTAAACCAGTGTCGGACGGGGACAAGGACAGGCCGTCTCGGTCATGCTGCTGGAACGGCAGCTTTTGATCTGAATAACTAGCATTTAATGGACATGAGCTCGGGGCAGACCTGTGCCTACCACCTTGCTCTTCATGTTCACTGCGGAGCCAGGGCGGGAAGT